TCCTCTCCCATTCTGGCTGTAGAACCAGGACTTGCATACTAGGCAAGCACTCTCCCATCGAACTATATTCCTGGCTTCCAAAACTACATTTGATGCCGAAGTTATGGAATTTGTATGATTGGAGATTAAGGAATATAGAAATTTATTTCCACAATTTTTGTATTTTTGCTCTATGTGATAAAATTTAGGCTGAGTCATAATTACTATTTTCTAATATTTATAACATTAATTTTTAGTGCTTGTGAGGCAAAAACAGGTGGATCTCTGTGAGCTCAAGGCCAGCCTGATCTGTGTAGCAAGTTCTAGGCCAGTCAGAGCTACATAGTGAGCTTCAAATAAAAGAAAGCAAACATTAATTTTTTGATGTCTAAAATCATATTGGTGCATTTATATAATCTCACTGATTTCTGTATATGTGTGTGTGTTTATATATATCGGTGTGTCTGCATGTTTGTATGTGTGTCTATGTGTTACTAGGAATTGAACTAGAACCTTGCACATGTTAGGTACTACTACTAAAGTACATTCTTATTTCTAATTTTGTAATTTTAAAATTATAGCTGTCTTTATTCTTGAACTTCATATATATATATATATATATATATATATATATATATATATACACAATGATATACAATTGTGTCCACTTTCCCATCTCCCTTTTCCAATTTCCCCAAAGTGTCCCACTCCCAACTTCATGTCTTTTTTTTCTCTGGCAACCCACTTCATCCAGTTAGTGCTTTACGTATGTGCATTGCATGGAGCCACACACTGGAGCATGGGAAACCTACCAATGAGAACACACTAGCAAAAGACAGACTCTCCCTCTCCCAGCAGCCGTCAGCTGCCAGCGGCTCCTTATGAAGGGAATATCTGAGTGAGTAAGGGCAAGAAATTCAGCTTCGTATACCCATGAGCACATTTGGATGAATTAGCAGAACTACCTTCCTGTGTCTGCCTGAGGTTCCCAGCTTTCATAGCTTCCATGTACCTGCTGTGACACATGCATACCCCCACATCACACACGCATACAATAATAAACTTTTAAAAATAAATTTTGCATATAATTCCTAAGTGTCTTAGACTTAGGAATTATAATTTTAATCCCTGAATTTATAAGAGCTACTTGCTAAGCAACAATGTAATGGTGACCTTAAGGTTAGGTTTGGTTCTTTTAAGATTTATTTTGTTTTTAAAATGTGTGTTTGCATGTTAATATGTGCACATGAGGTCACAGAGGCCAGTTGGATCCCTGGAGCTGGAGTCACAGACAGTTGTGAGTCACACAGCATGGGTGCTGGGAACCAAACTGTGATCCTCTGCAAGAGCAGCAAGTACTCTCAACCGCAAGCCATCCCTCCAACCCCAACTTCAAGGTTCTACCACATAATGTTCTAACCACATTGCAGTAATTTTGCAAATTGATACAGGCTGTGGTTGCCATCTCCGTTCAATATAGAGTCACAGTTGAAGAGACTCACTTCCCCAGCCTTAGTGACAAAGGCAGCTCCTAGAGATAGTTTAATTAATAGCCAGTCGTAAATTTCTCATCAATGTTTAATCCATGCTGGTTATCAAGGTAGTTGATGTCCCAACTCTTGAAGCAAGTCATACTTAAGAGTAAGGATGCCACTTCCTATGGAAATTGTGTTATAGCTTTATCAGCATCTAATAATCTCTTTGGCAAGCAATCTTGATACTCCTTTCAATACTTTCAAGTACTACCTGGATCAGTATTGTATAATTTTAAAAAAATTGTTTTATTTTAAATTGTATATGATTTATATCTGTGTGAGGTTCTATGTGCTTGAGACCAGAAGATGGTGTCAAATCCCCTGGAGCTGGAGTTACAGGTGATTGTAAGCCGGTCCTATGTCGGGCTAGGAAATGAACTCAGCAGCACTTTTAACCAACTCATCTCTCCAGCCCCAAGTATTTTCTAATTTGATGAAAAAGTCTATTTCTGCCTCCAAATGGATCATAGCCATGTACCCCATTCTTAGGTTGCCTTTTGCCAGATTGAAGTGTGTCCTGAAACATGATTAATAAAAACTCAGAGACAGATATTGGGGTTCAACTAGAAAAGGGAAGCACTGGTTCTTACCTCAACCTCAGTCCAAAAATAGTGATCCTGCCTCCAAGAAACCTTAGAATAAAGCTGAGACCGAGAGCTGTCTCCTCTCTATTCTGGGATTAAGGGCGTGCACCACTACTGCCTGATTTCTATGGTAAACTAGTGTGACTACTGGGATTAAAAGTGTGTGTCACCACTGCCTGGTCTGTAAGGCTGACCAGTGTGGCTGTTTCACTTTTCGGATCTTCAAGCAAGCTTTATTTATTAACATACAAATGAAATGGCACTATAGTGTCCTTCATTTTATATATGTGAACTCTTACATTTTAAATTAACCCATTTCTATTAATCCCTGAGATTCATTTACCTCATATATGTACTTCCCATCCTGCTCACTCTATGGCTCATGGTATCTTCTCTGACTCCATCCTTCTTCCCAGCATTCTCTCTGCCCTAAAAAGGGCCTAGTCATTGGCCAATCAGCTTTTTATCAGCAATGAGTGTAATACATATTTACAGTGTACAAAGACTGTTCCCTAGCACACCACCAATGGCATCATTGTTAATTCCCAACTTCCAAGCCTCTGAACTCTGTCACCTAATGGCAGTAGAAGAAACAGATTTTTTAGAGGGCCCTATGTGCCCATTGGATCCAAAAAAGTCCATTGTAAACTGAATAAGTAACGTGCCTCATGCATATTAATAATTTTTGATAAACAAATGACATTTTGAGTAACAAAATACAATTGTCAAGGAAGTTATTTTTGGTATCACATTGTGAATGCTAGATATTCATTAACATTAAAGGGGATCTGTAAGTGTGAAGTGGTTGAGCAACATTATTTTGATCACTGTGGGCTTTTGTTCATCTTTCTAATTCTATTATACCTGCTTTTAACTTCTGATGATTCAAAGCATGTTAGATTGGTATGCACCTAGGACTATACAATGTTTTGATGAGTTTTGTGTTTTTCCTTTTTCATATACTAACTGATGGCATCCAATTATTTGTTGACTTGTGGTTAAAATCATGATCTGAATTACTGCTCATAGATCACACAATTATTCACAGCTGTGTTATGGGTAATGAGGATAGTGTTCTCCCAGGTTTGTGTGTGTCAGTTAGGTATTTATCTGCCACTTTCCATGGGTTTCTGAAATAGCATTTCTCAACCTCCTGATGCAAGTGACAGAACCCCAATGAAACAAGCTTAGACAAAATAAAGAAATTGTTGGAAGCTAAAGATGACAGGACCAAACCCTGGAAAATGCAAACACAGATGGGCTTCAGAATCCAGTCACTGTTACCCCACCTGCCCAGCCTCCTGTCTCTGCCAAGAGACTTCTCACGCAAGTCAAGAAACAAGAAAGGTGACAGAGATCAAACTGGGTCATGCCTCCTCACCCCCAGCTCCATGTTGAAAATTCCTATACAAAATCTTTGAATGGCACGATTTTATCAGATGCCTACATCTGGACCAACCAACGGTGGCTAGAAAGGTGGGTTATTTAAGTAGCTTGTCTAGAGTGGTGTTCAGAGTCTGGCAAGCTCTGGAAATGCTCACCTAGGATGCCTACAAAAGGACCGTAGCTGTCCTCTGTGGTGCATCTGGAATTACTCACTATCACACTTCTAATTAGCACAATGTATGTTCATATGCGTGTTTGTTTGGTTTTTGTTGTTGTTTTGTTTTGTTTTTGAGATAAGGTTTCTCTGCAGCCCTGGCTGTCCTTGCTCTATTGACCAGGTTGACCTCAAACTCACAGAGATCCGTTTGCCTCTGCCTCCTGAGTGCTGGGATTAAAGGGTGCGCCACTGTGTGAGTTCTTAAAGGAAAATGTTCTGTTCGATTCTGTATCTTTAGGCCTGTGAAGCATGTTTCTAAATTGTGCACTAATGAGTGGATGTAATAGTCCATCACAAAGGGATTACACAAGGACTTGCCACGTCTTGGATTCTCTAGAAAACAGTATGTTCTGAGTTCTAACTGACCACTCCCTGATGAGTCACCAAGCTCTCAGCTTCAGTCTCTGCTGCTGTGACATGGGAGCTCCTTGTTTAGTGACTGGGCTTGTCCAGTTGAAGTGACTTCCTATTGAAAACAAAGACACTTGGCTAGGGAGATGGACCATTGGTAACACAGCTTTGCTCCAAGCATCAGGACCTGCACTCAGATCCCAAACCTGTAACTCCCATGTATTAGTTAACTCGATTCGGGAAATAACCAGGCCAGCTTAAAGATAAACAATTATATTTTTACTTATTATAAGGGGAAACTCACGCCACAAGAATGGGAAGTCCAAGTTCTGCTGTGTCCCACAGGAATCACCCAGAGAGTGCGAGCACCTGGTTCGTCCCAGATTTTCTTCCTGGGCTCCGGTTCCACTTCTTAAAGATGATTGGTTAACAAAGCTTCCCCCATCATCCTATTCTGCTGGGGTTTAGTAAGAGAATACATATAGACCCCTGGAACTAATAACCACCACCCTATCCAGACTGATGAGTTCCAGATCCAATGAGAGACTCTCAAAATAAGGTAGAGTATAATTGAGGAAGACAATTGACAGTTGAGCCTCTGCAGGCTCCTCAACACATACATTCACACTCACATGTAAGTACACCACACACACACACACGCACACACACGCATGCACAGAGAAAAACAGAAAGAGAGAATGTAAAACCTTACTATGTGCATATAACATTTATACACGCTTCCCAGGGTTTGCTATATATTTATGATTGCCTTACTTGTGGGCCAGAAAACATGAATTGTCATCTTGATGGAACCAGAGAGGAGAGTCTTCTTGTTGGGGGTCCATAGGTGTTGAGTCCTTATAAGTGATTCCCATAGATAACTCTGCCTTCCCGATGGGGATAAGGAAAGTACCTTCCCTAAAATTCTACTTGTTCTTCTATTTCCAGGCTTTTGTCAAGCAGGAAAGGATTTGCGTTTGGTGTCACTGTGTATGGAGCAAATTGACATCCCAGCAGGATTCCTCCTGGTGGGGGCCAAGTCTCCCAATCTTCCTGAACACATCCTAGTCTGTGCTGTGGATAAGCGATTTCTACCAGACGACCATGGGAAAAATGCACTTTTAGGTGAGTGTTTAATGTCTGTAACACTCTTCCGAGGAGAAGGGAGTTGAAATACATGTTAATTGAAAATTATCAGAGAATTTTATTTGTATGTCCCTGAATTTAGTTAGAGGAAATATTTTTCTCTCATTAACTTAAATATATTTTACATTTTTATTATCAAAAATTAGGCATGCAAAATTTTTGAGAAAATTAAAAAGCGCATACAATTTATCCGAATTTAATATTTTAGGTGTGAGCGTAGAGTGTTTGTTTAGCAAGTGTAATGACCTCAGTTCACCATTAGACATGTAAAACTTGCATTTAGTAAATAAAGTGAAATTCATTCTTTATAGTCACTGATCTGAACCGAATGTCAATTCTCAATTGTTTGTGAATTATTTGCAAATTTTCAGTACTACCTAATGCCTCATAGATATGATTAGTTTGAATGTAAAATATCTCCAACAGGCTGAAGACTAGAGAGTGGCATAATAATCAGAATGTTCATATGTCTGTGAAATTGTCACTCAGTAAAGTTTATATCAAGATGTCACACACAGGCTCTTGTGTCTGGGCACTGGTTCCGACTAAGTAGTGCTGTTCTCAGAGGCAGGTAACCTTTAGGAGGTGGAGCCTGGCTGGAGGGCTACTACAGAGTAATCAGGTGCCTCACGCTGCTGATACTCCAGCCAGGAGCTGCTCCAACCTCTTCCTTCCTTAAGACAAATTGCATTCCTTGAACCATGAGCGTGAATGAACCATTCCTTTATGCTATTTCTGTATCCGTCTATTACAGTAACAAGAAAGGTAACTAATAGATGCTTCTCATTTTATCAATTCACTTAAAATAACTCAGGATATATAAAATGCCATGAAATATATAACAATGTCTCAGAATTATTTTCTGGCTTAGATTCTTGGCTTTTTCACAACATAACTGTACTACATCATAAGAAAAAGAGGGTGGGTGGGTTTGGTTTCTTTGGTTGTTTTTGTTATTGTCTTGTTCTGAGACAGTGTCCTGGCTAGTTTTATGTCAACTTGACACAAACTAGAGTCATCTGAAAGGAAGGAACCTCAGTTGCGAAAATGTCCCCATAAGATCCAGGGATAGGGCATTTGCTTAATCAGTAATTGGTGAGGAGGGCCCAGGCCATTGGGGGTGGGGACATCTCTGGGCTGGTGGTCCTGGGTTCTATAGGAAAGCAGGCTGAGCAAACCATGATGAGCAAGCCAGTAAGCAGCTCCCTCCATGACCTCTGTATCAGCTCCTGCCTCTGAGATCCTGCCCTGTTTGAGTTCCTGTCCTGACTTCCTTCAGTGATGGACCATGATGTGAAAATATAAGCCGAATAAGCCCGTTCCTCCCCAGCCTGCTTTGAGTCATGGTGTTTCACTGCGGTAATAGTAACCCTAACTAAGACAGGACAGATCTCACAGTGTAGACTTGGGTTGCCTGGAACCTGCATCAAGGTCTGCTTTGCCTCCATAGTGCTGGATTAAAGGTGTGCACCACCACACCTAGCTGGTTTTGAATTTGTTTTGCAATAAAAAGACAGGTATATAAGCTTTGATGTTATTTTGCTGCTGTTTTTCTAGAGGTTCTCAGAATTCCTTTTATTTAGATAGAACCATATCTTTAAAGTACAAATATAAGTAAAAGTAAGGGACAAAGAATTAAGCTGTATTGTTTGTGAGTTGATTTTTATTTTAGTTTTACACAATCATCTAAATTATACAATACCAGAAAGCCTTGAAAAACATCAATATAGTATCTTAAGTTAGAAAGTAACCCTAAACATAATATATAGAGGTCCCTTCCCTCCCACACCCTTCTTTCCTTCCTTTCTCTCTTTCTCTTTCTCTTCTTCTCTCTCTCTGTTTTTCTTTTTCTTCCTTCCTTCCTTTCTTCCTTTCTTGACAAGATCTTATTGTGTGGCCTTGACTGGCTTGGAACTCACTATGTAGACCTTGAGTTCACAAGAAATCCACTTGCCTCTGCCTTCCAAGGACTAGAACTATATGAAGGCTTCTTAAATTATAGTTCAGAGCCAAATATTGTTTAACATCTACTGGTCATTTTCATGTTTCATAAGTGTCAAGAATATATAATGGTCACAGTTGCACACACCTATAATCCCAGCATTGGAGAGTAAAGCAGAAGGACCAAGAGTTCATGGTCACCCTGTGCTTTATAATGAGACCTTGTCAAAAAAAAAAATGAGGAGAGAGGCCCTAAGTTTGTTACTGGCACTGAACCAAACATGGATTCATTTTGTCTTTAAATGAAATTTAGCACACAGTTTAGAACGGAAATCTAATGGTAAATCTTATTAATTGTAGTAAATTAACAAAGAAGACCCAAGATCTCATTTGTTAATTTCTTCATTCAATAGTAGTTATTCAGACTGTACCGTGTAATGAAATTCAAGCTAAACTATTACATGGAGGGGAAATTATAAGAGATAGTCCTTTCAATCATATACTTAAGACTCATTGGTAATATAAAACAATTTGGGAAACATATGTAACATTTTAAAAGCATGATAGTCTCTTGTAATGGAACAGATGAGGTATAGCTCTGACTCAAAACTCTAAAAAATGTCTCATAATCCATTGCTGGTTCTTCTTCATGACTAGAGGAAACCTCATAATATAGAAAGCACTGTCAGATTTTGTATCTGTTGTTTGGATGGATGGACAAACACAAGGATGGAAGATTGGATGGTTGAATGGACAGATAGATGTACTATTACATATATGTATGTATGTATGTATTTATGGATGGCTAAATGGGTAGTTGGAGGTTTGGATGGTTGGATGGGCAGCCTGTTTATAAATGCTTTGAATTATTAGTATTCTCCAGTGGAGATATTGTGAAATGTTCTTTTTATTCGTGTGGCCTTTCTCTCTTTATCCTTGTTAATATATGCCGATTATAACATATATGGTTAATACATATGGTTTAGGGGTTTGAAGATTGTGCCAGTTTGTCAGTGGTCTTCTTTCCAGTTATTGTAGACAGATACCCGGTCTTTATACTGGATACAGGGATCCTTGTCTTCACCCTTTGTTCATCCTTCTGTATGACAGTATGTGTGTTCTCGTCTCATCAGATGTGAGTAAAGGAACTCGCTGTCTTACTGCTCCTTCCTTCTTTTGTGTATTAAAGGAGCTGACTTTTTTGTATTAAATGGCTGATTTTTTCATAAAACAGTACATGGTTTCTTAAACTCCCAGCTTTCTCCATTTCCTCCTGTCACATCTGCTCCAGCCAGGCCATTGAGAGTCTTATTTTGTTTAATAGTCTAAGGGATTGTTCAGACATTCAGTATAAAAGATTGAAGATCAGGTGAGTAGAGAGAAAAGGGAATTTCACAGAGCTGTCTTTAGCTCTCACAGGACCAGCGGTGTCCAGGAGCTCAGCTCTGCCCATGCGGCCCTCTCCCTCCTGTCAGCTTACTCTCCCCAAGCCAGAGTTCATGTGTAGTTGAAACCAACCACATATGGGCTCCAATTTACAAACCTTTGCAAATCTACGGTCCAGTACCATCTAGATAAAATTCTAGAAGAGAGATTCTAACTGTCCCATCTTGGACCAGATGCTTGTTTGTCATGCACCCATAGGCTGTGGTCTCTAGGTACAAGATGCTGTGGTGAACCATGCAGACAACCAGTAGTAGGACCCACAAGCTCTTAAAAAACTTTTTTAGACTAATAAACAACAAGTAATTAATGATTACATAATTTTTAAGTAATGAAAAAATAAGCAGTGATATTTTAAGTTAAAGTTATTGTTTGTTCATTATATAACGTGACAGTTTCATAAGCTGTTTTCATTTAGGCATATCATAGTCTGGCATTCACCCCCAGCCCCCAGCAGGTTCTTAGAAAGGAACAGGCTGGGCTGTGGTGGTGGCTCAGTCCTTTAATCCCAGCACTTGGGAGGCAGAGGTCGACGGATCTCTGTGAGTTTGAGGCCAGCCTGGTCTACAAAGCAAATTCCAGGACAGCTAGGACTATCATACAGAGAAACTTTATCTTGAAAAAATGAAGGAAAAAAGAAAGGAAGAGGCTGAAGAGCTTTAGCACAAAAATTTCTTTCTCTTTTCCCCTCTTCCTTCCCCTCCCCTTTCCCCTCCTCCCTATCTCCCTCCTTCTTCTCCTTCCTCCCTCCATTCTTCTTTTCCCTCCCTCCATCCCTCTTTCCTCCTCCCTCTCCCTTCCCTCCCTCCTCCTCCTCCTTCCCTTTCCCAGTGCTGGACCTCTGACGCAGGGTCTTCTGCAGCTAGGCATTCTATCTCTGATCTTACTCCTCAGCCCCACCCAATTTTCCTGTCTTTATATACTATATAAATTCTGTCACATGATACTCTTCATTTAACTATTATCCTATTATAGTAGCATTTAATTTATTCCCAGTCTCTTACTGTTAAAAATGACTCTACTGTTAGTATAATTTGACTGTGAATTTCATGTTAAATAACAGCTTTGGAGCAATCTTAAATTACTTGATCCTTTTGAACATAAAATACCAGTTTACAAGCGTTGGTTTATTTGCAATTATATATGAAGAATTTAAAATAAAAGAGAAAAGATGGGGCGCATGGTGAGGGGTACTAAAACCTTACCCTCATTTTCTTTCCTCTTCCGAAGTATTTCTGAATAGTTGAGACACTCTTGGTTCATAGACTATGAATATTTTTATACTTTTTGCATTTAGAAGTAGTGCATCAGCGTACAAGGCCACTAGTAACCTTGACTTTCCCCATTTCAGGGTTTTCTGGAAATTGTATTGGTTGTGGAGAGAGGGGGTTTCGATATTTCACGGAATTTTCCAACCACATTAACTTGAAGCTCACCACCCAGCCGAAGAAGCAGAAGCACTTGAAGTACTACCTAGTCAGGACCTCCCAGGGTGTGCTAGCAAAGGGGCCTCTCATCTGCTGGAAAGGTAAATCAAATTCCAGGAGGGGGAGGGGTGTGGTGACTGGTGACCCTCACAGGGTTCAGAGTACAGGAAACTCCAGGAGGGGGAGGGGTGTGGTGACTGGTGACCCTCACAGGGTTCAGGGTACAGGTGTGGGTAAGTAAACAGCTCAAGTTCAAAAGGCTGTTCTAAAATGTCTGATTTATCCCTTGTTCTAATTAACTGGAGCCTGTGAGTGTAGGAAAGAGCAAGTCTCTAGATTTGTCTTTAGAGAGCACTTGCAGCTCTGGGGTTGGGAAATTAAGCCCGGTTCCTTTTCGTTTTCCTGAGTTCTTTGCTTTATTTCAGTTTGTCAGTAATTCTCACCAATCTACATTTTTTTCTATTTTTATTTTACCGAAAAAACAAACCTCAAATAAGCACTCCAGTCTTCTGGATGCCCGAGGAAGCATATGGGTGGGTTGGCAGTTGGGTTCCTTTGGAATTAGCAGCAGGTTAGAGGGCTGCTTGGTGGGAATCACCATGGATTTAGTCACTGTCCTAAAGCAGCTTCTTCTGCCACTGACAGCTTTTCTCTAGAGTCATTATCTTTACCCTTCTTGCCTGCATAAGCTTTGTGTCTAACTATGGAATAGCATGAATCCGAATTCCAGGAGCATATTTGTATCTGAGTCCTCCACCACAGTGACTCTCAGCTGCCTCTGAGGAACATTGTGTAACACCACGGGAAAGAAATGATGTGGCCTGTACCAAGCCACTGTCCTCAGAGCTTCAATCTCACAACCACTGAACCTTAAGAATTTCATTCATAGTTCTTTATCTGGCAAAAGCTAAAGAATTTTCCTCTAGAAAGTCTTCTTGAATACCATAAACCGTAAAGACTAAAAACTTGATAAATATCATATCTCTATTTTTTTTAACATTTTTTCTTTAGCTTTTCTTTTGCTTGTATAAAAATGTTTAACTTCTTGGTGCTAAGGGAGTTTCTCTTTCTAGAGTTATCTCCCTTCACTGTTCCAGAGACAAACTTCTGTGTTAGGCTTGTTGGTGAGCACCTTTGCCCTCTGAGCCACCTCACTGGCCTTTTTTTTCTTTTCTTTTCTTTCTTTTTTTTGACAGGGTTTTTCTGTGTAACTGTCCTGGCTGTCCTGGAACTTGCTTTGTAGACCAGGCTGGCCTCAAACTCACTGAGATCCACCTGCCTTTGCCTCCTGAGTGCTGGGATTAAAGCGTGAGCCACTATTGCCTGACTCACTGGCCTTTTTTTAAAAGTAGGCTCATACCACAGTTTTTATTTTGGAACTGAAATCGTATTATTTACCTACACAAAATCACATAATATCGATATGCATATATACATGTAATACAATCCCTTTTAGAAGGTCGTAGTGTAGGGTGCTTCAGCCTTTGCATGTCTCATTCCCATGGGGACTTTCTTTAGAACTCTTCTAATCCTGTCATACAGCCATTTCTGTCTTTAGTTCATGTGCTGTTCTTTGAGACTAGTAATGGTAAATTTAGTTAGAACTTGAAGTCCAAGAGACTGCCACAGTGTTCACTGAATCAGCACACAGTACAATTAGAATCATATCAGAGCCCTGTTAAGAAAAAATAAAAAAAGGGAAGCTCTGCCAGCACACAAAAAAAGTCCAATTAGGTCAAATCAAACTAAATCAAAATGCCCATTGTTTTATTAAGTTAGGCGGTCTTGGGTGGCTGAGCACATGGCAGGGCAGGGGAGACAGGACAGCAGGAAGCCCATGCAAACCCCAAACCACCCTGTTTCTCCTCTGGGAACCCATTTAAATACCCTGTGGGAGTGGTCCTGATCTCAGGGGGAGGGGTCAGGACCTGGCATGCTGGGATTTGGAGTCCAGACCAAAACAACTCCCAGGCCAGGGAGTCCGTGATGGACGCCAGGGGCTGAGGGCTACGTTCCCAACTTAACAAACCCCATTAATATCTGACACTTAATGTCAATATTGACACTACATTATCAATAATTTCTTACCTATTTCCTTAAATATAAACAGAGAGTAATAATAATTTGCTTAATCCCAGCACTCAGGAGGCAGAGGTAGGCAGATCTCAGTGAGTTTGAGGCCCGCCTGGTCTACAGAACAAGTTTTAGGAACGGCTCCAAGCTACAGAGAAACCCTATCTCAAAAAAAACAAAATAAATAAATAATAGTAATAATAATTTGCTTCTAATTTTTATCTTTATCTATACAGTTTTTATTTCTCTGGTGTTTGAATATTCATTCAAATGGAAGCAGACTAGATGGATTAAAGTTGTTATTGTATGTTTAAATAAATTATGAACAAGAAGTTACCTGGTATCTCAAAAGCTCAATATGTTTTTATAATTATTGACATTTTAGCCTCTGTCTTACCCATAAAACTAACAAGACAGCATTGGTTATTGGCACTTTTCATGTGGGAACTAATCTGTGGGCCATAGAATTATGATTGTTCTTTGCCTTAAACATACCATCTGGCTTAGGAAGAACTCACCAGTCTGAAAAGGCTTTGAAACAATAATTAGGGAAGCTACCACCATTCAAGAAGCAGAGACTTATTCAGAAATCTTATGGATTATGTCCCCATTGCCAGTAAAATAAAAACTACCTTCTTCTTATCCGTTTTTACTCCCTTCTAGAATGTAGAAGCCGACAATCTTCTGCTGTTTGCCACTCCACTAAACCTATTCCTTCAGTGCCATCAACTGTGGCTCCAGAAAATGGAGCAGCTAATGGATACAAAACAGGCTTCACTCAAACAGGTATGAAGTAGTTTTTTGCTATTGCAAGGACAGATATATGTTTAAGGAAGCATTTTTAAATTTTCTTAGCTGGTTTGAGTGAGACATTGTCAGATAAAATACTATTTGAGTATTACTAGGATACCATTTGAGTTATCTTACAGTAAAAACCCAGCATTGATATGGCTAAGTCTCTGGGGGACCAGGGCTTACTTACATCTCAATAGTCCTACCATTATAGACAATGAAGAAAAACACTGACGGTTGGCAGAAAATTTAGCTTAAGCATAGAGTGGGATCTGTCAGTAGAGAGTATGTAGAAATCAGACACCACAGCTATGGTGTAGCACTTACTGGAATACATTCATGAAGACTAAAATCTTAGGATAGACCTCCATTTAACCCAAATACCTGCCCTTAGAATTCAGGGAACCCCATGGAAGAGGAGGCACAAAGAGTGTAAGAGCCAGAGGGGACAGAGGATACCAAGAAAGCCAGGCCCTCTAAAGTAAAAACAAACACAAAACTGTGAGATGACAAAAGAGAATAGCACACTTGCTGAATATGAGACAAGGCTCCTGGATGGATTGTGTGTCCCAGTGGATGAAGCCAGGATCTGGTTTTCAATGCTACAAGACAGGAGCTCAGTTACAAATAACTAGATAAAAAATCTTTTCTTTGTGGTGTTTAGCACATTTTCTATTAAATATTTTCATTTATTTTACATACCAACCACAGTTTCCCATCTCTCTTCTCTTCCTGTTCCCTCTCCCCACCTCACATCTACCCGCCCCCCCCCCACACACACACATCCACTCCTCCACCCATGGGAATCAACAAAGCATGTCAGATCAAGTTGAGACAGGACCATCTCCTCCTTCCCCCACATCAAGGCTGGGTGAGACAACCCAATATGGGGAATAGGTTCCAAAAAGCCAGCTCATGCACCAAGGACTGGTCCTGATCCCACTGCTAGGTGCCCCATGAACAGATCAAGCTCCATAACTGTCATCCATATGCAGAGCCTAGGTCAGTCCCATGCAGCTCACTAGCTGTCAGTCCAGAGTTTGCAATCTCCCACTAGCTCAGGTCAGTGTTTCCCCATCATGATAGACCCCCTTGGTTGTACAATCCCTCCTCCCTCTCATCAGCTGGACTCCCAGAACTCCAACTAGTGCTTGACTGTGGATCTCTGCCTCTGCCTCCGTCAATTACTAGATGAAGGCTCTCTGTTGACAATTAAGATAGTAACCAGTCTGATTATTGGAGGCCAGTTCAGGCACCCTCTCCACTATTGCTATGAGTTTTAGCAACAGTCATCCTTGTGGATTCCTGAGAGTTTTCCTGGCACCAGGCTTCTTCCTAACTCCAAAATAGCCCCGTCTAACAAGCTACCTCTTTCATTACTCTCCCCCTCTGTCCCACTCCCAACGCGACCAACCCAATCCCTCATATTCCAATCCCTCCATCCCTTCCTGTAAGCAGAGGCCACTCATTTGTTTCCTGGCCATGTAGACCCTTAATAATCACACAGTAACTATATTAATTGCAATACTGTTTGGACAATAGCTTAAGTATATTTTTAGCTAGCTCTTACACCTTAAATTAACCCATTTCTATTATTTTATGTTCTACCACAAGGCTCATGGTTTACCAGTAAGGTTCCCAAGCATCTGTCTTCTTGAGTGGCTACATGGCATCTCCTTGACTCCACCTTCTCTCTCTCTCTCTCTCTCTCTCTCTCTCTCTCTCTCTCTCTCTTCCCTGGCTATATTCTGCCCTGGAATTGACCCAAAACAGTTTCTTTATTAACCAATGGTAATAAAACATATTCACAGCATATAGAAGGGAACCCCACATCACCTCCCCTTTTCTGTCTAAATAAAAAGGAAGGTTTTAACTTTAACATAGCAAGATTATATACAACAAAACAGTTATCAAGCAAGAATTATAGTTATAATATTTATATCTACTTTATCTTTTATCATAACTAAGGAAAACTATAATTATAACTATCTATTCTTTAACTCTATCAAAGACCCCAGAAGTTAACCTAAGTTAACAGGAAGTGCATTTTAAGTAACTTCCAAAACTCTAGAATTGACAGAGATAGCTCACTGCCTTGGCAGTCACCCAAAGTTCTTCTGTAACATTGGGGCATCCATCTTACCCTATAGACCCATAGTATCTGGCAGATTTTTCTGTTAAGTGGGAAATTTCAAAGACAGTTACGTCTATATAAGCAGTTTGTCAGTCACATTCTTCTGTGTCCTGAAGAATGTCTAGAAGACTCTTTCATGAAGCAAGAACCCTGAAGGACTGTCTCAGCTTCTTTAGGCAACTTCAGCAGTCATTATTCTGTGGGTTCTGCAAGTCTAGTTTACATAGCATAGCACCAAGCAATCCAGGCAAGTGCAATGTTTAGCTTTGTCACATAAAAGACAAATTCCATAACAAGTTTCTTCAGTGTCCATCATCCTTTTGAAGTAGATTGGTGCTGCCAGGAGCAGATGTGTCTCATTGTCATGTAAAGTCCTAAGCTCTTAAAACATTTTAAATGCCATATTCTGTAGTCTTTGAAAGATCTGAAGAATATCTATCCATCTGAAATACATCTCTGTAATCTATAAAACCTAACTAACATGACTACAAACTTGACTATTATAGATAATTATCTATAAACCTGTATTTCTTAATTATACATTACATTTTTAATGATCTGCACAAACACAGTACCTTAATAAAGAGCAGAAATATATACACAGTATAACAAAATTGACCTTAAGACCAAGATCCATACCAATGCAAAGCATTGATCTCTGTAGCATGTCCCCCTTTAAATGTAAACAAACCTTTATAAACAATCATTTAGGGAAGTCGCGCATTGTTTTTTAGACCACTTTCTGCCGATTTGAGGATGCTGTTAATCAAGTTCTCGTGGGGTCTCCTATGTGGTAGGTCCATCTCAGCCAGCAATCCTGAAGCTGTTATGGATGTTGGACCATCTGGGTCATTGTTTCAGAGGATCTTGTTAGATCAAACCATATTAGCCAGTAAGGAACCCACAGCTTTTTATTACCCGTGGAAACAAAAGCAGAACCTCTCTTCCAAAGCAACATATCCTTAGATCCAAATTTTAAAGTCAAGATACCTTTAAAGTATATATGTTGGTTTAACTTAGCAGCCCTCAAAATCAAATCTCTCTCTGTAGTCAAAAAATTTAAAGAAAACACGGTAATATATATAATCCAGACTCTGTGTATATTTCATCTTTACATGGCTTGTTTTTTTAACTCCTTAATATATGACTGTCTGTACATGGTCTCTTTAAAGACTTTGTCTTATTATTTTTTTAAAAACTATTTGTTTTTTTATAATTGTCTATACTCTCTTTTTCTCTCTCTCAAGCCTATGTACATTTTTAAACATACTGTGACCCATTAAGAGGTTTATTTGTGTCTGAATTTGTCTTTATTTCATATCTGTAATTATTTTCTGATCAGGAGCACTTTTAAAATGGTAAGCAGCTTAGTTGCAGTGGCCCTGGATGCTGGTTCCACCTCTCTCTGCCTTTTAATATGGTGGAGGTACATTCTGTGGAACTGCCAGGTAGGAGCTGTCCTCGTCACTTCAATTCTGGATAACACCATGTAGCATATACATGCCTTTTATCTGAGTAAAATCTAAAGCTGTCATGCAGCACACTGCGTGGCCTGGATGTGGGAATCTGCCATGCTCTCCTTCCCGTGTACTCCTAGCAGACTTGATCCTGCCACCTGACCAGGCAGGGAGTGCTGCACCATGGGCATGAGCTCAGCTTCTTTCCTCCCAACTCCAGTGGGCACACAAGAACCTAGACCCAAAGTGGGTGGTAGACATTAGCCACAGATGTTTGGGTGCCATTCTGTAGGCAGAGATTGTTTGTTCATTCCCAGCTGCCCAGACCTGAAATAATCATAAAGAAACTATCTTAGTTGCAATACTGTTTGGCCAATAGCTTAAACGTATTTTTAGCTAGCTCTTACATCTTAAATTAACCCATTTCTATTGTTTTATATTTATCATGAGGCTTGTGGTTTACCAGTAAGATTCCTGTGTGTCTGTCTCCTTGCCTCCACCTACTTTCTCTATATATCCCTTCCAGCCTGGCTATATTCTGCCCTACAATAGGCCCAAAGAAGTTTCTTTATTAACCAATGGTAATACAACATGTTCACAGCATAAAGAAAGGAGTCCCCCATCACCCTCCCCTCCACCAACCCAACCCCACCCCAAGTTTACCCAGGAGATCTCATCTAGTTCCCCTTTCCAGGGAAATCTATGCATACATAGGTTGTAATTAGTGGTTTTGATCTTAGCCATTCTGACAGTGTAAGATGGTATCTCAGTGATGTTCTGATTTGCATTTCTCTGGTTCCGAAGGATGTTGAACAATTCTTTAAGTGTATCTCAGCCATTTGAGATTCTTCTGTTGAAAATTCTCTGTTTAAATCTGTATCCCATTTTTATATTGGAGTATTTGGTATTTTGATGTCTAGTTTCTTGAGTTCTTTATATATTTTGATGAACAGCCCTCTGTCAGATGTGGAGTTGATTTCCCATTCTGTAAGCTGCTGGTTTGTCTTGTTGACTGTGTCCTTTGCCTTATAGAAGTTTCTCAGTTTCAGGAGGTCTCATTTATTAATTGTCTATCTCAGTGTCTGTGCTCCTGGTGCTATATTCAGGAAGTTGTCTCCTGTGCCAATATGTTCAAGACTACTTCCCTCTCTCTCTTCTATCAGGTTCAGTGTAACTGGATTTATGTTGAGGTCTTTGATCTGCTTGGGATTTAATTTTGTGTAAAGTGATAGATATGGATCTATTTGCATTCCTCTACATGTGAACATCCCATTATGCCAGCACTGTTTATTGAAGATATTTTCTTTTTTCCATTGTATAAGTTTGGCTTCTTTACCAAAAATCAGATGTTCATAAATATGGGGATTTACATCAGGGTCTTCGATTCAATTCCATTGTTCAAC